AGTTAAATATGAATTTTACCTCCCATAAATGCAAAACTTCTATAAATGCAACTTTTTTAAATTTTTTACTATGGTCCTACTGAGTTGCACTTAGAGAGGTTTTACTGTATGTGGTACTAAATACTAATAGAGTATGGGGATAATTAAAGGAATAACGAAGGAATCAAAAAGGGTAAGGGTAATTAAAAGAGGTAAGATAATCATTAACTTCGCTTTTGTCTTTTATTATTTTCTTTTTTTTTTTATAAAGGATGGGGATTAACACGATTCAATATGGCGCAGTCAGTTTCTCAGGGCATATATGCTAGTGGGGTTATATGGCGTTAAAGTATATGCTAACCATGTATTTTGTAGATCTTGATGTGGCATCGTTGGTTGGTTCGTCGGTGGTAAGCTTTTCCATGAGCTTTTTTCTTTTCCATTGTCATCTTTGTCATGATGGTGGTATCTTCATCGTCGAGGGGCACGCAATCGTGATCACGATTATGATAGCATTCCGACATTTGGTTTTCAGGGACTGTTGTAGGTATTCTCTTTTTCATCGTCACCATATCAATCTTGTCCTTATCGTTATCATCGTATAGTTCTTGGTCGCAGCATGCTTCAGCATTGTCGGAGTCTTCTTTGTTTTTGGGATCTTCTTCGGCCTCTGGGTGATTTCTTCAAATTCGCGTGGAGTAAGAGTTGCATTATCGTCATAGTCATTATCAATCACATGGAGTTTCGGTTAGACCAGCTGGGTAGTCATCGTCATCGTCATCTTCATGCTGATGGTGACCATATTTTCCGTGATGATAGTGGTAGTGTTTATAATTGTTGTCGTTGTCTTTCTCATGGTGGTAATACTATAGATAAACTCGTAACAAGCGTTGCTTATATTCCCCAATCTATCCAGGTTTATTCCGATAATAACAATCCCAGAAAAAAAATTCCATAATGCTTCGCTACTGGATTGTTATACGCAAAGTGGCTCCGCTGGAACAACAAGATTCTCTGGCCTTCGGCCGCCAACCCTTGTTGGCCTACATGCCCTTCTGTATAGCAAACGCAATTTTAATCTAATCTATACACTAGTCGAAATTTGGTCATTCGGCATGTCGAATTATTGCCGAATGTTTAAATTTTTTATAATTAAATTTAAGC